TTTGAATATCTACTCCATTTGAACTCTGTGGAAAACCTTGTGTGACAAGTCTCAGAGCGATAGGCATGTAAGTCTGCAACTTTAAAATAACAAGTAGTCCTTTAGCACCTTAGAGACTAACAAAAATATATATCTAGTATCATGAGCTTTTGTGGGCAAAGCCCACTTCCTTAGATGAGCAGAAAGAAGGGAAAAGGGGGAACCTCACTATTTACAGTGCTACAGGACTACTCATTTTTTCCTGTGGACAACTTAGAGGACAGCAGTGTCTAAACACTGGAGCTGGGAGGATTTTGTAGGCATGGGTGTGATCATCACAGAATCACAAGTCTAAGAGGTCAGAAAAGGGAAACACCTATTAGTATAACCCATATTTATTGCAAATACAAAATAATGTGAAATAACCAACATAGAAAATTAAATAAAACAAAAAAACTCTCCCTCTAGTGGCAGCTCTACAGCTCATCCTCCAGGGCTGGACCCAGCTCAACACAGGCAAGGTTGCAGCACCACTGGTGATAGGAGCCAACCCCAACACCACCCACCACTCCATGTGGATAAAACAAAATAACATAAAATTCCCAAAAAAGAACACAAAAATTCCACAAGGGTCTTCCTACAACACCAACCTCACTCCCCCGGTTCTGGTAGCAGAGGGTTGGTCAACAGCATACTCCTGGTTTCAGTGTTATCTATCAACATATTTGCATCAGCAAAGAGGAGGCTGAGGTATCTGCCAAATAACCCAACTATGCCAGTTATTTGGAGCCTACAATGATTGTCAGCCTTCGGTTACTCCAGCAGTTGATCCTTTGGCAGAAACTTCAGGAACTGCTGGAAGCAGGAGATGTTCTACTCCGTTCAGCTATCCCTGAGCTTTGGAACTACAACCAAACCTGGCTGACCTGTCATCAAAGCTACTGAAGTCTATCAAGAAAGAAATGTCTCAGTAATATGATACCACCCGCACATCCATACCAACCACTACATCAAGATGCTCAGTTCTATGACCTTCTCTGGAGCAGATCAATTGTCCCATACTGTCATCAATTATTTAGATATCGGCATACAGAGTACGCTTATTAAGTTTGCAGATGATACCAAGCTGGAAGGGGTTGCAACTGCTTTGGAGGATAAGGTCATAATTCAAAATAATCTGGACAAATTGGAGAAATGGTCTGAGGTAAATAGGATGAAGTTTAATAAGGACAAATGCAAAGTGCTCCACTTAGGAAGGAACAATCAGTTTCACACATACAGAATGGGAAGTGACTGTCTAGGAAGGAATATGGCAGAAAGGGATCTAGGGGTTATAATGGACCACAAGCTGAATATGAGTCAACAATGTGACGCTGTTGCAAAAACAAGCAAACATGATTCTGAGGTGCATTAACAGGAGTGTTGTGAGCAAGACACGAAAAGTCATCCTTTTGGTCTGTTCTGCACTGATTAGGCCTCAGTTGGAGTACTGTGTCCAGTTCTGGTCACCGCATTTCAAGAAAGATGTGGAGAAATTGGAGAAGGTCCAGAGAAGAGCAACAAGAATGATTAAAGATCTAGAGAACATAATCTATGAAGAAAGACAGAAAGAACTGGGCTTGGAGTCATATGATAACAGTCTTTCATTGTGTAAAAGGTTGTTATAAAGAGGAGGATGATAAACTGTTTCCTTTAATCACTGAGGACAGGACAAGATGTAGTGGGCTTAAATTGCAGCAAGGGTGGTTTAGGTTGGACATTAGGAAAAACTTCCTGTAGGGTGGTTAAACACTGGAATAAATTACCTAGGGAGGTTGTGGAATCTCCATCTCTGGAGATATTTAAGATAAATGTCTAACAGGGATGGTCTAGACTGTATTTGGTCCTGCCATGAGGGCAGGGGACTGGACTTGATGACTTCTTGAGGTCCCTTCCAGTCCTAGTATTCTATGATTTTATCATAGCATTATTGGCACATGAATTCTATCTGCCCCCAAATCATTCAATGGATGCACAGGAAGACTGACAGAGTTAGTCTGCAGGATCAGACACAGCTCAGCAGCATGATGTGCATCATTATTAAAAATCAAATCCTGAAGTCCTTCCCCACCCAGTATTTTCTCAGGCAAAACTCCTTGTGATGTCAAACTGAAGTTTTTCCTGAGTCATACATGCAATTCAGAATAGATGCCAGGTATACTCTTGGGCCCTAGCATCACAGAATTGTAGGAAGGGAAAGGATCTTGATAGCTCATCTAGTCCAGCCCGCTGCCCTAAGGCAGGACTAAATATTATCTAGACTATGCCCAATGGGTGTTTGTCTAGCCTGTTCTTAAAAAAAAATCAGTGATTGAGATTCCACAAGGTAATTTGTTCTAGTGCTTAATTACTCTGAAAGTTAGGATTTTTTTTCCTAATGTCCAACCTAAACCACCCTTGCTGCAATTTAAGCCCACTACATCTTGTCCTGTCCTCAGTGATTAAAGGAAACAGTTTATCATCCTCCTCTTTATAACAACCTTTTACACAATGAAAGACTGTTATCATATGACTCCTACATCTTCTCTTCTCCAGACTAAACAAAGTCAGTTTTTTCAATCTTCCCTCGGAAGACATAATATACAGGGCTTCTCAGTGCTGAGAAAAGTGGAAGAATTGCTTCTTATGTATTGCTTACAACATCCCAGGATGTTGTTAACTCTTTTGTAGCAATAATATTGCATTGTTGACTCATATTTAGTTTGTGATCTACTGTAACTCCCAGATTCTTTTCTGCCATACACAGGCCCGGATTAAACTCTTTGTAGGCCGTAGGCACTCTCAGAATCGTAGGCCCTTAAATTAGACTACATAGAAATATGTAACGGAGAAATGCCCTATAACCTGTACACCTACTATCACCCACTTTAATTTTCAGTCTTGAAAGTGAAGCACTGTGAGAGAAATTCATGGTACATCAGTCTAAAATAACAGCCATTTTCTTGTATACGACAATTATACTTCGGGTTCACCTGATAGTTAATCAGCTGATAAGGAGAAAAGTAAGGTGATGTTGCTGCCACTATGACTGTATAATTCACAAAGCAATGCACTGCACCACAGAGCTGATAATTGGCAGCATTGTGTCTCAAAATCATTCAGCATCATTTACAAAATAACAGTACATTGGCTGATGCTGGCCATACATTTCCACCAGAAACAGTGTGTAGTAGTAGCCTAAGGTTTCTGAAACACAACTGTGAAATGCAAACACTGTAGTAATAAGCATTTTCCCCTCTAACATTTTCTATCCTTGGGTGGATTGAATTTTCTTATATGCACCACCAGTACAAACAAAAAGCTTGTAGGTATGGAAAACAAAAAATGTAAAACAAGGGATAATTAACAAGGAGCAATGCCTATGATATTTAGTTAATATCAAATAAAAAAATTAACACTACCCTGGGACTACATGTATATTATCTTCCTAACAACTCAAGCTAGTAAACACACCAAAATGCATATTATTCACACATAGCTCAGCTTTAAGGTGCTAAAACAATCTATGAGTCAACTGGAAACAGCCATGCTCTCCTTGCAAATACTAATACAATATTTACTTATACTGGAAAGAAGAGAAAAAGGCTTGCACTCAAGCTTATACAGTTTCTGTGGGATGTCCACTCAATTAAATTAATAATGCACAAACATAGAACAGTAAAAATAAGTAATAAAGTAATGCAGAAGGCAAATAAATCCACAAACATGAAAATAGGAAGGGAAGGAAACATCAAGTGGTTGGTGATGAGTATTTTAAATGAATGGTTAGGATCACTGACCATGTGGCATGGGCATCAGGAAGAGATTTCCAGATGGAAGTGAATCTCCTGGGTTCATTTTGGTTTGTATTTGGACTTCAGGCCTCTGTTTGTTACATCACGTCAGAAACTAGCCCATCACCATAACAAGCCTATCCCCAGCTGGTCTCTAAGACAGCTGAGATAGTCACAGGGCACACCCCAACTGAAAAAAATCACAGAGCAGTGCCAGCATCCACTCTGGTTCTGCCAACTTGTTCCAAAAACATGTCCCCGTCCACTAGTGCTAAAGGAAGCAACAGCCTTACAAATAACCTCCCTCAGCAAATTGCCCTCCCACCTCCACACAGACACAAACGCACACAAATCATTCCCAAATGTTATGAATCAGTGAAATTCCATCACTGAACAAACATGGAGCTGATGTGGCTTTGAGACACAGAAACATGAGAGGAACAGCAGTTGCTCTACCATGAAACCCCAATGCCTGGCTAAGTAGAACCACAATGCATACATAATGCCATGACACACACAGCCATACACAGTACATGTAACAGTGACAGCTAATCACATTACTTTGGATAGCAAATACCCCTAGATTTTCTGAATGGTGTTTGGGTGGGGTTTTGCATTAATTACATGGGTGCTAATGGAGCAATATTTTTTTTTAGGATGATAGAAACTGAGAACCAGACAGAGACCCTACCCGAGACCAAAATCTTTTTTCAAGCAAAGACAACAATATGTCACTGTCTCCACTCAGAACAGGTGCATCCTCACATAAATTCTGCATTTTACATCAATCCGCTGACAGGAAAACACAGCGTTCAACCGTCCACGGAGGCTGCCATGCTCCTCGTCTACATTCTCAGTCAGAGTTGCCATCCACTGCACAATCAGCTTAGTGAGGAAACATGTTAGCTGTTTACTGGAAGCCAGAGTGACAGGCTTCCATGCACTGGCATAATAGGTCAACCCCTTAGTTCATGAACCAGCACAAAGGCAATGAATGGAAAGGGCATGTAAGGGCCATGTGCCCCCACACCCCGCAGATATAACACCTTGGCTTGAATTAAGCATGTTCACATGCACTGGGCATACTCAGTCACGTTTGCTGACACTGCTGCCCTCACTCTGCCCTGGTGTATCTTCCTCCCACTATCAACAGGTCCAGGTCACCTCTGAACCAGCATGTTCTGCCAAAAGAACATCGAAGAAGCTTACCGCAGGTGTAGATAACATTGAGGTGCTTGTGGACGCCTGGGTAACAAGGATCACCAAATTCATAGGTGCTGGCATACACGCTGCAGCTTCTTTTCCCATGGCAGCGCCTGGTCATGAGCTGGAGCGCCGTGGCTGACTGACACTCTGAAAGGGAAACTGATAGGTAACCATTCCGAATGCACACACAACAGGAGAAATCATCCAGGTTCCAATCCCCTGTATTACACATTGAATGAAAAAATTTCCAAGAGTCATCTGAGCCTCCAAACAGGGCCAACTCCCTCAAACCCTGCAAAGGGCTGGTGGGTAAGGAGGCCATTCAGCTACCTGTCAAAATGTCGTAATCTAGCATCATTAGCCCCTTGTTAACTGACAGTGAAGAAGTCAATAACACATCTAAAAGACAGGTAGACAATAGATGGGACTATAGCACTCATAAATCATAGAGTCTCCTTCGGGATGTTCAGAGCGTTAGAAGTGATAACTCTGATCTTTTCTTTTGCACGTGGTCCCAGGAGCCGCACTGTACAAAATGTTCAAAAGCCTCGAGTTGATTTGCATGATGTAGTGCATGCAGAGAGTAACATAATGGTCCTCAAATGCTTTAGGCTTGATTTCCAAATGACAAAAACTCGATAGCAGAAATATGAAGCAAGTTATTTCTGGCCCTGAGTCAGTGAAATCTGCACAGGAGTTCACCCTTATTAAAAAGCCTATTAAAGTGGAAGACCCATATATAACAAAAATCCTCTATTTATTAAATAGGACTTCTTTGGGGATTTATCTGGAGAACTCCACATGGTGAGAAGTTTTCATCAATCTAATGGCATTTATGTACTTCCAATATGTCTTTTCAGAAAGGTACAAGGGCTGATCTTGGCAAGAAGAGGCGTTGCTCATGTAAGCTATCCCACTTAGCACAATTCTAAATCAGTAAAAGCCAGAAATTCAGATCTTGAAGAGATCCAGATCAGGCAAATGACAAGAAGTGTCTAGGTTCAAACCAGCCAAACTGATCCTCAGTTCTGAGATTAGCTGTTTATTGGAAGTGTGACAAACACACCAGAGACTGTACAAGGAACCCATGGAACTAAAAAATCATGAGCTGCATTGCTGGCTTTTACTGATTTATTTAGGGCTACAGCAGACACATAGGGTATGTCTAGACTACCTAGTTTTGTCGACAAAAGTGGACTTTTGTCGACAAAACTATACCAGCGTCTACACTACTGCTGAGTTCTGTCGACATAACGTCGACAGAACTCAGCAGTTTTGTCGACGCTGGTAAACCTCATTTTATGAGGCATAACACCTTCTGTCGACAGAACTCAGCAGTAGTGTAGAACTCAGCAGTAGTGCAGCTTGCTTTGTCGACAGAACTCAATGTGTCTGGACGCTCTTTGTCGACGGAAGTTTTGTCAACAGTATCTGTCGACAAAACTTCCGTCGACAAAACGCGGTAGTCTAGACGTACCCACAGATTGCAAATTTGCAGTGAGGGAGAACCTGTAACGTATGCACACTCCTGATGGGATTTTATCATTTCAGAAGACTCCACAGTCTTTCAGCCCAAAGATCAGGAAATGTGTGAATCTTTTCCCTAGAGGGTGGGCTCTACAGAATGAGCTTCATGGCAAGATGACGTCTACGGTACAATTCTGTTCATTGCACATGTAACATATTCAGAATCCAAATTACAGACCTATGCTGGTGGAACCCATGCCCAAACTTCATCATGGCTCCCAGGTCTTGAATAGCTACTCAGATCCTAATTAGGAAATTTACTTTCTTCACTTCTGTAATAGGAGATGAAAGGTTGGTATGTTTTCACAGCAGCTCATAGACTCATAGACTTTAAGGTCAGAAGGGACCATTATGATCATCTAGTCTGACCCCCTGCACAGTGCAGGCCACAAAATCTCACCCACCCCTCCTAGAATAATCCTCTCACCTATATCTCAGATATTGAAGCCTTCAAATACTTTGAAGACCCCAAGATGCAGAGAATCCTCTAGCTGTGATCTATACCCCATGCTTACCTACATGGGTGGAAGGGACAGGTGGATTCCATTACTTTGGATGGAGTAATAGAGATGTAGCCGTGTTAGTCTAGTCTTGCTGAAACAAAAGACAGGACTATGCAGCACTTTAAAGACTAAGAAAATGGTTTATTAGGTGATGAGCTTTCGTGGGCCAGACCCACTTCCTCAGGAACCATCTTGTTAGTCTTTAAAGTGCTGCATAGTCTTGTCTTTTGGATGGAGTAAGGTATTGTGTTCATTTGGGGGAATCTCTATTTTTTTCTCTTGTTCTGTTTAGTATTTGTTTTGTTAAATCACATGCATGTGTGCAGTAGTGTGTAACTGGGCACATTTGAAAATCTAAAAATACAACATAGACTTTTCGACGTGTTTAGACATAGGCCTAACTCGGCTCCCACTGAGGTCAATTGCCAAGGAACTTTGCTAGTTAAATTGTAATCCAACCCATAGATAACACAAATCAAATCTTATAGCACAGTGTTAAAGCACTTTAAGTGGCTACAATGCCTAGTAATTCAAACAGACCCTACTTACACCAGGCAAACTGTGTAAGCCTTGGTTTTCAGGGCTGTCCTGAATTGTTTCTGTGTACTGCGGATATGCAGCTTATTATTTTAGTTCCAGTGAAATTGCTGAACGTGAAATTGCTCTGCATATAAAACGAGCTTGTTAGCCATTCCTTTGTGCTCTGGACTTAGTCATTTAACCCAGCAAGCAGTTGTGACTGGTTTGGTTTTTTGCCTGCTTCTGTCATCATTTTATAGCTCCAGGATTGGAAGGGGGATCCACTGTTGCTGAATTATTTTTTGCTTTAGTGCCTGTTTTATGATCCCCTCAAACTTCTCTGCTGCAGCATTTCATTTCACAGCTCTTAATCTGAGCTCTCACCAGATAATTCATCCTCTCGGTTGCATGTGGTGTTAAAGGGTTGTGAGGTAAATATACCCCTCAGGATTGGCTCTCTCTTTATCAGCCTAATCTCTGGCCTGGAAAAACCCAAATCAGGTGCCATCTTTGACTAGTGATGCCACAAAGCAAAGGGGAAGTGTTTTACCCCATGTGAGTCTCTCACACTCTTAGAAATGGTTTAAAACTGTGAACACTGGAATCTGCCTCAATCATGCAGTGGACTTACCAGATTCATTTCAGCTGATGTATTTTACTCTATTTAAAGCTCCTTGTTCTCATAATTATTCCTTTACTGTCTCTCTTGGCAACAATAACAGATGTATGCCAGTCTCTATTAGTCACATCCTCATTTACTTAAAGCAGATACTTTGGTTATTCATTGCTACACATTTTTATTTGCCCTTAGCGAACCAGGATCCATTTCTAAAAATGTAACCAGACCCAGCAAGAGTCAGGGTTTCAACAAGGGACACTGTCACATACAGAGTGGGTCAAACCAATGGTTCACCTACTTCAGTCTCCTATCCTCTCACAGTGGCTAGTGCCAGATTCTTCAGAGGGAATGAACAGAGCAGGACAATTATCGAGTGATTCTTCCTCTATACCCAGCTTCTGGTAGTTTGAGGTATAGAAACACCTGGAGCATGGGATCAGCTCCTAGGTTTGCTCACACCCATTTGTGGACCTATCCTCCACAAACTCATCTAAAGGCTTGTCTACACTGCCACTTGACTGTGCTGTAACTTTCTCGCTCAGGGTTGTGACATCCCCTCCCCCACAGAGCACAGCAAGTTACAGCGCTTAAAGCAGGGCTGGCTTTAGGAAGTGCAGGGCCCAATTCAAACCGTTTCAACGGGGCCCTGGCAGCCAGGATTTTTTGTTGACCAAAAAAAAAAAAAACCCACAAAAAATGTCACAGCCCCTTTAAATCACCAGCTAGAGGGCAGAGTCCCACCTTCCCACCAAACCCAGAGGCCAACTCCCCCTCCCGCGGCGCAGGGAAATCCTTGCACTCGACTCACCCCTCCTGCGGCGCACAGAAGCCGCCGCGCTCCTTCGGAGCCAATGCCCCCTCCCGCAGCACGCCCGGCACACCAGCACACTTCTAGATTTCGGGCACAGGGCCCTCTTGCTTTAGGTCGCGGGGCCCTTTTAGGCACGGGGCCAATTCAGGGGAATCGGGTGGAGCAGCCTAAAGCCGGCCCTGCTGTAAAGTGCCAGTGTAAACAGGCTCCCAGTGCTGGAAGTCACACTCCCAGTGCTGTTAGCTACTCCCCTCGTGGAGGTGGTTTGCCTGCAGTGCTAGGAGAGTTCTCTCCCAGCACTGGTGCCATGACCCACACTGCCGGGGCTATACGCTTTAAACTTACAAGTGTAGACATAGCCTAATTTTTTAAACTCATTTATACTTTTGGCCTTCACAGTATCCCATGGCAATGAGTTCCACAGATTGACTGTGTGCTGGGTGAACAAAGCTTTCTTTTGCTTGTTTTAATGATTGCCTATTCATTTCAAAAGATGACCCTTCATTGCGTTACGTGAAGAGGGCAAATAAGACTTTCTCCTTATAATTCATGATTTTATAGATCTCGATCATATCTTCCTCATTCATCCATTTTCTAATCTGAACAATCTCATGTGGAAGCTGTTCCATGCCCCTGATCATTTACATTGCCCTCCTTTGCACTTTTTCTAGTATATAGAAAAGATAGTAGATAGAGGTATATAAAATCATGAGTGGTGTGGAGAGGGCAGATAAAGAAAAGTTATTTATTAGTTCCCATAATAGAAGAACTAGAGGGCACCAAATGAAATAATGGGTAGCAGGTTTAGAACTAATAAAAGAAAGTTCTTCTTCACACAGCGTGAAGTCAACCTGTGGAACTCCTTGCCAGAGGAGGCTGTGAAGGCTAGGACTATAACAGAGTTTAAAGAGAAGCTAGATAATTTCATGGAGGTTAGGTCCATAGAAGGCTATTAGCCAGGGGATAGAAGTGGTGTCCTTGGCCTCTCTTTGTCAGAGGCTGGAGAAGGATGGCAGGAGACAATTTGCTGATCATTGTCTTCTGTCCACCCTCTCTGGGGCACCTGGTGCTGGCCACTGTCGGCAGACAGGCTACTGGGCTAGATGGACCTTGGTCTGACCCAGTACGGCCGTTCTTATGTTCTTATGGGACATGATAGTAGTTTTCAGGTATCTAAAAA